TATGATTATATGATTGCTACACAATACATATATAATATTAATAGTTAGCTGGTATCTGACTGTTTTTGGAACAGGAATTGGAATAGGAGGTTTTTGAATGTGTACAGAGAAGGGGCATGTCGAATTTTGATCGGGAGGGAATTCCAAAAGTTGACAGAGCGGGCTATAAAGGAATTTTGGAATGAGGCAGATCTATGAGAAGGGATGTATAGGTCAGAGGGTCAGGATCTTGTAGTGAGGGAATGGATTGAGGACTTAAAATCCATAAAATAAATAATAGTATTTATTTTTACATTTGCCTACGTTTTGGCCTGAAGTTCAGACCTTTTAATTTTTTATTTTTCAATGTTTATAGTTTATTATACCTATTGTTATCTGGTTCTTTTCTTAGCCCTGATGAAGGCCTGAACTTTGGGCCGAAACGTCAGCAAATGTGAAAATAAATACAATTATTTATTTTTACTATTTTATTTTGACTGATCACCCCAACCATCCTTCTCTTCAATTATTCACTACAGTCAGCCATCAACCCACAATTACTAAAAGTTAAGTTTTCTTAAATAAAAAATCGTAATCAAGCTTAAAAAATGTTTGCTCTAAAACATTATATTTGTTATTTAAAAAATTGATTTTTCTTTTTTTTTACTCAAATCATCTTGTAGATTATTTTCTTCATGTATAATAAATAAATTTAGTTATAAATTATACATTTTTAATATTTGTGTCCCTAGACATATTGGTCAGGGAAAACTATCATTAAGTAGGGAAATGTTAGGGAATTTTACTTTAACAGTCTGGTAGCCCTGGTATATTTTTATTATTTAGGTTTTATACAACTCAAGGAGTCATATCCCCAACACCCAAAAGCCACTGCTCCCTGTCCATCCAATCTCCCTCACGAAGCCCTCTGGCTGCCATGCTTTCCTCCACGTCCTCTATCCATTTCTTCTTTGGCCTTCCACACTTCCTTCTTTCAGGTGGCATATAGTTATAAATTTTCTTTGGCCAGCGGTTCTCATCCATCCGCATTAAGTGGCCATACCACTTTAACCGTTTGGTCCCGATCAGGTGAAGGATGTTCTTTTGACATCCGACCTTGTCTCTAATTGCTGCGTTTGGGATCCGCTCGATTCTGGATATGCCACAGCTTCTTCTCCAGAAATCCATTTCCATGGAAAGCAACTTATTTTCCATCTTTTTTGTCAGTGTCCAGACTTCTATCCGTAAGTGGCTACGCTTTCTACAAAGGAATGGTATATCTTTTTTTTATTTTCTAATCTTATTTCTTTCCTCCATAGGGTTGAATTTATCGAACTTATTATTCTTTTCCCATTATTTATTTTATGTTCGATATCAACCTCACTACCACCCTTTGAAGATAACCAGTATCCGAGGTACTTGAACTGTTGGCTGACATTTAGCGTCCAGTCATCAATTTCAAGGGGCAAATTTGGAGCGTTGAAAACCATATACTCTGTTTTACTTTCACTGATTTTCAGACCCCATCTGGAATACGTGTCCAGCAACTTCCTCATCATATAGCTAATATCACCCGGATCCGATGCGATTATGACTTGGTCATCGGCATACTGCAAATTGTAGATGACATCATTCCCGATTTGAACACCCATTCCACAGCACGATCTTTTCCAGTTTTTAAGGGCTTGTTCTATATAAATGTTGAAAATCAGGGGTGAAAGGCAGCAGCCCTGTTTCAATCCTTTGTTAATGAAGAAGCTTCTAGACACTCTATCTCCAATTTTTATAGCCCCCGTTATATTTTTATAGAGCTCTTGAATTGCTCTGATGAGGTATCTCTTAATAGATGCGGATTCCAAAGCTTTCCACAATTTCACTAGAGGTACTGAATCATAGGCCTTGTGTAAATCTACAAATATCATATGGAGTTCACGGTCGTGGGCCATCCTCTTTTCTATAAGTTGTGAGAGACTAAAAATGTGATCAGTGCATGATCTTCCAGCTCGAAAACCCGCCTGTTCCTCACTGATCTCTTCCTTTAAATCATTTTCAATTCTGCTTTTAATTATCCGGCCGTATAATCTACTCAGCGAGCTGGTAACAGTAATACCTCTGTAGTTGGAAACATCTTTCTTTTGGCCTTTTTTGAAAACTGGAGTGATATAACCCTGTTTCCATTCTTCAGGAATCTCTCCACCATTTAACAGAAGTGTCATACTTTCTGCCAGTGCCATTTTGAGTTCGGTCGGGCCTGCTTTAATTAATTCAATTGGAATAGAACCAGGGCCGGGAGATTTTCTATTTTTCATTCCTTTGAGGACTGAATCCAGTTCTATGATTGTGACTGGCGGTATATCTTCCTTATTTAGCATTATTTCATCGGATTGGTTCCATGCGAATTCGGGTCGCTCCTCATGAAATAATTCTTCAAAGTAATTCACCCATTGCTGCTCCTTGATCAATGGGAAGTTATCTCCACATCTTTTGGGATTTTTCAAACTTTTTAATGTCCTCCAAGCAGCACTAGACTTTTGTCCATCAATGTAAGTGTCCACATACTTGCAGGTTTTCTCCCAATAGATATTTAAAGCCTTCCTTCTAATAGCTTTTACTTTTTTACAGGCATTTCTATATTCCCTCAGGTCCTTCTCATTTTTAGAGCTCAACCATTTATTGTATAAATATTTTTTCTCTTGAACAGCCACTTCAGCATCCTCATTCCACCAAGGCTTGTTTTTTCCTCTAACCTCTTTCCTTTCCTCTCCGACAGCTTCTAAAGCTGCGGCATGCAGGCACTTTACTATATTTTCGTAATTTAGTTGATCATTCAGACCTTTCTCTTGATTCAATTTCTCCATCAGTCGGCTTTGGAACAGTCTTTTTACTGATTCTTGATTTTTCATACTCTCAATTGAGTATCGAATCGTTTTCGAAGAGTCTGAATTTCCTCTGGTCACTGGAGAGTTTCTAAAAAGATTATGGGGTTTAAAATTCAGAATACTCTTTAAAAGCTATAGTGGTTGACAAAGTCAACTGTGTGCACTAGCGGATCCAGGATTTATTTTTGGGGGTTTCAGCCCGGAAGTTTTTTTTTTTCATATATATAATGATAACTAGTTTAAAAAAAAAAGGAAAGAAATTAACTACCTATATGAAATAGTGTTTAAGTGGTTCTTGAAGTTTTATTAAATATAATTATACGAACAATAATACTTTAAGAGATAGTGTTTAATATTTTTTTCTATAAAACATGGTTATATTTTTCCATTTTGGGGGGAGGGCTACCGAAAGCCCCCCCCCTCTCCCGTAGATCCACCTGTGACTGTGTGCTCCGATACATGAATCAAACAGGTGCTCCTGGTGTATAAGATTAAATATGTTTATGAAGTATTGACTAAGGTAATCTGTTGATCTAGTTTCTTTACCTGGAACATGTTTAAATTTAATATTTAATCCAATGAATAAGTCGACTAGGTACAAGAACCTATAAGTGGTTAAGAAGGTAATGGCTTTATAACCAGGATAATCTGCAAGTATACCATAAATTTTTTCAATGGCATGGACCAGGTCTAAGAGTTTTTTTCTCTTTTCAGTAATAATTAAGATAACCAACATTAAAAGTTCTGTTTAAAAATTCTATAAAATGATCAGGATAATTGTTTGCCAATGACAGTCTTTTTAATTTTTTTAAATTACTTTTTCCTAGAGAAGCGTTTAGTTTAGGACTAGAAACTTTTTTTGTCACTCTAAATATAGATAATTTCTGTAATAAAAATCTGAGTGAAATACACAATTTTATAACCTCTTTACCTGAAAATTATTTGATTAGTCATTATTTTTTAAATTTTATTAATAAAAAGTATATTTAAGCAATTAAGTTTATTATAATTAGAGACTGGATTTCCGTGTCATTGCACATTTTATTCACCTATTCGATAAGCCTCAACTTAATTAAAATAGAGTTAAAGCTTATTAAACGAGGAAGTTTTTCTAAAAGTGGTGTATCTGTAGTATAGTTGGATAATGATAAAAAAAAATTGGGAATAATTAATGATTTTTTAAAAAACAGAACTTAGCTTAGTTTAACACCTCAAAAATCCTCTTTAAATGGTTCAACAATCACAAATTCTACTTTCATTTGAAGTGAATTTTTTATAGTTTCCATTGAAACAATTGTTAATTACTTAAATTAAATATTTCTTTAGTTATTGCTTCCTATCCAACGGAAATGACCCACTCATAAAAATACAAAACTTGGATTTCCTACTTTTCTGTTGAAAATTGGTCCATTATTTATATGAAATTGTTTGTAGCTCTTGAGATCTGCTATCACTCTTATAAAAATTTCCCTCTACTTACAGCGACACCCTGTATATTGCAAAATTTTAGATGGACGACTAGAATGAAAAATGAAAATATTCTTACAGGATCTGTTATGGTCTTGGGGGGAAAGGAAATTGGTTCTTTGTACTTTTTCACTAAAAAAGTAATGAGTTGTATAGGCTTATGGTTTGGGTCATCAGGCTCTCTTCCCACCATATCTGATAACATTTGGAATTATTTTCTAAATTATAGATTACTTCAACAATTTTTTTTTTTTCAAGTTACCAAGATATTTGTCACTTTATTCATGACCTTAATTATTTGAGCTATCAATACATTTGTTTGAGATACAGAGCTAAGTATTTGTGGAAAAGATAGAAATGTACTGGAACTGTGAGGTTTTATGTTTTAGTTATTGAGTTTTGGATTAACAATGTTGAACTTTAGTTCAATAAATATTTTAAGTATGGCAGAATAGGGAGGAGGATAGTTGGAAGCAGATAGTTTGGAATTGAGGAAGTGGACAGAAAGATTGAAGTTTACTTTAGGTGTCAGTTGACCTAGCTATGGCACAGTATTTTGATAATATTTATCATTGTAAATAACATTTATATATTGTCTTTTTTTGTATTTTTTATAATTGAAGTCTTTACAGCTATTGTAAATAAACATTTTAACTTAACTTTTCCTGATTACAGTTGGAGAATGATGAGGACAGTCATGGACTTGCTTGGGATTGGGCTGGCAAGAATCTATATATGACCCTAGGCTATGGTGAGGATGGTAGTATTGCTGTTATCAATAATCAGATTAGTGACTTAGTAAAGATAGTAACTAAAGTGAAAGATCCAAGGGATATTTGTTTGCATCCAAACAGGGGGTTAGTAAATATATTTTTTCTTTTGTTAATTATTTTATGTAATGATTAGTGAAAATATGTTTTTCTGGTGAGATGATAGACACTAAATAGAAGTATCAGGCTTATTCTCTATGATCAGACAAATAGATACTGTAATGTTTTGTTGAAACAAGCCTTACTATTACGTTGTAGCTCAACTTGATTAGTGTTATTTATTCATATTTTCATTTATTTTACCTTGTTAAGTTTTTTGATAGTGAATAATTGTTGACTGTTGGAAGATATTGTTTAAGAGAAGTTAGTTGGGGATTGCAGTCTTACAAGTAAGACTTAAGTAAGTAAGAAGTACAAAGTAATAAAAGTATTCCTCTAACATAAACATAGTAATTATTTTACAGTCATTAATTCCCCCATTCTGACTTGTGGGGGGTGCAGATCATGCCAAACGGCCCAATATTTTTTAGGCACTTTTTTTTCTAAATTTTGTGGTCAAATTATCTTTCAATTCAAGTGGAAAGCAAATGGGCGATCATGAGTTTTTAGTACCTCATTAAATAGACTAAGTTTACCAATCTCCACATTCAAAGAATTTTCATAAACAAAAAAGTTGTAGGTTAGGAAAAGATGAATACCAGGGATAGGGATCACTATCATAGTTAACCCCTCCCCTGTCTGACACCGGGATGGAAACTCATAATTATTTTATATCTTGTAAACTTCGGTTATTATGTGGTTGGTTGGCAAGCGTGTTTTGCACACATGTTGCCCGCTATGCCACCCTGCCCGTGAACATATAGCTCAACCTTGATTAGTTGGTAGGCTAAAGGCGAACTCATGCATTACTAATTGTAAGTTGAAACCAACATTTTGTTCTTTCCCTTACTCTTTAGGTAAGAGAATATTAATATTAAATTAATCAGAACTAAATAAACTTGATATTTTAAAGGGTAGATGAAATTAAACTGAGTTTAAAAGAAGATTTAGAGTTATAGCCAAAGAGGATATATTAAAAACTAATGAAAATCTAGAATATTTTAATGTAAGAGACATAAGGAAGGTGAACTCCATGCAGAACTAAGTTGAAAGCAACATTTGTTATTTTCCTTACCCTTCAATATTAAATTAATCAAAACAGAATAAACTTGATATTTTAGAGGATTGGTGAAATTAAAAAGAGTTTAATAGAAGATTTAGAATTATAACCAAAGAAGATTAAAAACCAAAGCAAATCTGAAATATTCTGAATGTAAGAGAGATAAAGAAAAACAAAAATATAATTTCTTAATAGTTAGGGAAAAGGGAGAATAATTGTATCCTACTATATTAAATGAAATAAAAAAAGAATTTTTTACAAATTACTTCATTGCCTTAAATGTATTCATAGAACTATTACAAAAAACTAATTATAATAAGTCCAAGTGTTTATAAAATTAAATAATTTTTGTTCAAAATCTAGTTTCAAAGTTTAAAAAATACTAAACTCGTCTGAATATTAACAAAATGACAATACGGCAATCTGCACATGGGTTGTAGTAGAATCTTCATGGATGCAATATTTCTACTCTTGATCCTTACAGTCAATTGATCGGCATACCACTAACTACATCAACCTATTTTCAAGAGTGAGAATAGTCGTTGTTTAATTGTAGTTGTGTTTCAATGGTTGTGCAATGCAATACTCAAGTGTAACAACTACTCATTTTGTTATTATAAGACTCAGATGTTTATATAAATAGTTCTACTGAGGTGGACTTGTACACCATGTCTATGGTCTCCTTCCTCACCTTTTATCTGATGAGCCTTTATATAAGACCCATAACAAAAGACTGTGGTTTTGACTTATTATAAGTATTACATCATGTAATTTTCTGCCACAACTGACGGCAAATCTCAGGACATTATTTAACAAGAATGTTTTTTAAGAAAAGGAGGCTGATAAACTCGTGTAATTAAACTGCTTAAAAGTCTCCTTCTTGAGGTGGTTTCACCAAAGACAAATCGTAATTGCATTTAAAGAAATTTTTATCTATTTTACAACATTGTAACATGTTATTACCTAAATTAATTAGTGTTATAGTTATTCCTTTGTATTCAACAAAAACCATGATAGAATTTTTAAAAAACTCAAAACTTTAATTTCGTTCTTTTCTGTGTGGAATCGAACTAGTATTTATATGAATTTTTTTGTTGCAATTTTTCTTCAATAAATAGTGGGATTTCCTGTTTTAAAAAAACATTTCATATGGGCTCACAATAAGCTAAGTTTTGGAAAGTTCAGTTTTGTTATTTTAGTCTAAATGACGTGAGGAGTATTTACTAAAAGTATGAACCTTTAGTCATAGGGCACTCTGTATATACTCTGAATTGGCTATTCCATATAAATTTTAACCATCCCTGCTTTTATTTTATTTCCAACTAAAATGTTTTACAGTTCTGGCTGTGTGCTTGAAATTGTTTTTATGGTGGAAATCAAATACCTGCCCATAAATCTTAAACTCAGATGGTTTTGAATGGTGTGTGTGGATACTGCAAAAGTTTTTAGCTTTCATTATCTCTTCTGTTTTATCAAAATCTCTTACTTTAGAACCAGGAAAAAAACACCTGAGCTATTTCTTATCCATTGTCTTGCTTCATAGATGGGTGCAAGCAATCATCCAAGTAGGTACTCATCTCCAGATTGTTGTCAAATAAACTGCATTCTTCTGTAGCATATATTTTAAATTTAGAATCAATTGTCCATATGACTTTTTTTAGTCCAATTTTCAGGCTATTTTGCAAATTTTTCATACTTAAATGAACAAAAGACCTCCCTACATACCAATTATAAATTGCCTTTCTTAACAAATTGAAGAGTATGAATAAAGTCCATTATCATATACTATAATAGATGTGTAACTCTTTCTTTATTTCTAGAAAATATTGAAATGGTCATTCTCTTATTCTTCTTAAAGTTAGGGGAAATATTTTTGGCAGCCTGCACATCGGTTATTGTCCATGAAATGCATTTGATTTTCGTTAAGTATTAAAAAAAATACATGCTTATATATAGCTCATTTAAACTGCAATAATTATTATTACCTGACACAGTGATATCATATCATTATATAATAATATAACCCTTATACTATTGTTCTAGAATATATTATTATATTATGACCATGTCTTAGTCCAGGAGATCAAGAATACAACAAGGATTGTTGGTTCACCCTTACTTGCAAGAGGAAGTCTTCACAGGCTCTTCGTCACAGTAAAGTAGTTGAGCAACCTAACTCTAATTTTGACATTTTGTAGCAATACAAAAAATTGTCCTATTTTCATTAAGTAGAATTTTTGAAGCCTCTATCGAACAACGAAATGAGCTGTCATTGCACTTGAATAATACATTGTACAACCCTTGAAACACAACTGCAATTAAACGACCAATCATTTTTTATTCTAATTTAAGGACCAAGTGTAGAAATATTGCATCCTTGAAGATTCTATCTTAACCCATGTGCAAACTGCCATATTATCATTATGTCTTGTTGATATTGAGACGAGTTCAGTATTTTGAAACCAGATTTTAAACATAAAATATTTAATTTATTAATAATCGACTCTTTTATTTATTATAATTACTCATCTAATTCTATTTATCTATAAATTTATGTATTTTCCTTTAGTTGCCCTAACAAATATATCTTTAGCACACGTATATTTAATTACATATTTATATAGATATCCTGTATTTATCTTAATAATATTTATACTTAACAATTATATTTGTATATATTGTTTTAAAACTATTTATATTTTTAATCTATTTATAACCTTATCAATAATTTATGTGTAAATATTTGAAGGCTCATTATGTGTGTATATATATATATATATATATATATATATATATATATATATATATATATAACTTATTTAACTAGTTATATACTTTTAAACTATTTAATATTTTAGCTTGTATGAATGTATTTTTGACAATTTTTTTTGTATGTATATGATATTGATACTTGTTTGGAAAGCATTAATTTGATATTTTGTTTGATGATTTACTGAGTTCATTATTACGGGAACATGTCTTTATAAAATAGCGGTATTTATTTATTTATTGGCTTCAAAGACTATTTCGAATAGTGAACAATTACTAACGTTGAATTTTCAGCTACCAGCATTCATTTAATTAAAACCCGCTATAGATAAGGATATGTCCGGACTGGAGAAATGTCTCAAGATTGATCAGCGAGTTTGGGTTCAAAGAAGAGGTGGTATTTTTCAAGATTCAGTTATCATATCTATAGAGAAGGGATGAGATAACAGTCTTCAGGTTGTGTCAGTTGAATGGGAGGAAAATATAGGAATTGTTTTGGGAAAAACTGTTTCTGATTGTGAGGTTTTTCTTTGAGACCCGTCAGTATTTTCCACGATTTCCACAATCGTCACGCACCTCTAAAAACAGGTGTCTTTAGACGTCCTCCCGCTCCTTGGATCAATACAGAAATAAGAGAAATAATGGGGAGAAGAGAAACCGCTAGAAGATGATACAGACATACTAGACTACCTCAGCATTATTCCACATTTAAATCCCTACGAAATCTCACACAAATGACCCTAAGTTGAGCCAAAGGCCAATACTTCAATAACGTTTTATCCCAAGAACCTAATCCTAAATTCAAATGGAATATCCTTAAGAACCTCTCTGTTGTTACCTCGAAAACCTGCACATAGTACCCAGTCGATCCCAACACTCTAAATTCTTTTTTCACTAACCATTTTCTTTCCACATCTCCATCTGACTGCTCATATTTTTCCATTACCAAAACCCCCTTCGATCCTGATAAGTTTTATTTTCTCGATATCTCTCCTACTAACCTACTCTTTGCCACCCTTAAATCCAAAACGAATGATTATGGTCATGACCAAATACATCTTAAAGCTATCAAACTCTGCCTTCCAGCCTTACTACCCGCACTTCTACACATATATAATTTCTCTCTCCAAAATCCCATTTTTCCCAAATCCTGGAAAAG